AAGCAAGTTTCTTGTTCCGGAATCAAACTCGTTTCCGGTTGTCGATTTAAAAGAAACGCTTAGGATCACCTTTTTAATCCGGAAATTTGGGATAGTGACGATTGGTCATCGCAAATTGCTTCTCTTGTTAAAAATACATATATGAATTCTCTCACTTTTTTTCTCGGCTCAATATACGACATCAGGAAAATTCGATGCGTGTTTCATACAAAGTTAATTTATTTCACGGCTGAAAGTACTGTATATTCATTGCTCAGATTTAGTTTCGTACATCGTGAAGCAAGTTTCTTGTTCCGGAATCAAACTCGTTTCCGGTTGTCGATTTAAAAGAAACGCTTAGGATCACCTTTTTAATCCGGAAATTTGGGATAGTGACGATTGGTCATCGCAAATTGCTTCTCTTGTTAAAAATACATATATGAATTCTCTCACTTTTTTTCTCGACTCAATACGGCATGAAGAAAATTTGATGCGTGTTTTATTCAAATTTAATTTATTTCACGGCTGAAAGTATATTCATTGCTCAGATTTAGTTTCGTACATCGTGAAGTACTGTATTGATTAAATACTCAAATGGGTTATTAAAGTACTGTTCAGCAGTACAGTATTTTAAATTGATTTATTTATAATATAGTCGTAAAATTATAATGAAACACTTTCCATAGAATTGAGTCGTGAGAATCGGAAATGCTGCAAAAAATCTGACTTGAGCGCGACTGTAATACGTACTTCCTTCCGCGATTAATTATCACTAATGACAGCTATAATTACATGTACTGTAGTAGGATTTGGGAAATATTTTGTTCACCTGAAAGTGTTACCTGGATGCAAGTATCGGTATCCATCCATAGTCACTGTCCAATTCCGGGTTTCGGACCGTACGCAAATTTCTGGGGCACTGGGACTCCAAGGTGACCAAAGACCATTGGCATGACTTCGAATTGAACACAGGCACCTACTTTCTCCTTTAAAAGAAACCCCAAGGATATACAGTGAGACCCCAAGATGCGGACGTAATTGGTGCATCAAGAGTGTCCCTAAGTCAAAATGTCCCTAAGTTGAGTCTCATTTTCCCTTAGACTTACATTATATAATTTCTAATTAGTGTTTTAAGTACAAAATACTCACCATAATTCCATGAAAATAATTGTCTCCCAATCTAAACTGATTCCAATCAATACATTTCAACACAATATGGGCATTTAGGGAATTGAATACTGATACCTCTGTACAGTACATAGAAATATTGGCTGTAAAAATAATATTCAAGCAAAAAAGAAGGAAGTCCCTCTCAGCTGGAGGTATTTTTTAATTAGCTAAATGGATGGTAAATTGGTGATAGAAATGCCCAAGAAATGTTCTTACTACAGTATCAATTTTAGGGTTGGAAATATCTGTTTCTTGTAATTTGTCCTGAAATGTATTTGCAAATTTATAACAAAATGTCCCTAAGTTGAGTCAGTATCCTCATGTCAGGCCTTTTTCATTAATTTTCTATGATAAAATAAGTGTCCCTATGTCAAATTGTCCGCAGGTTGAGGTGTCTGCATGTGGGGGTCACACCATATTTTGTAAAATTAAATAGTGATTTTTTTGTCCAAATAGTTTTTTTATTTGCAATATGCTATATATATACAGTTGAACATTTTAAAGTCAAATTTCAAGGGACCAGCAAAAAAACTTGACTTACAGAGGTCTTGAATTGTAGTGGTTTCAGCTACAAAACAAAGCCCTTTTGTTCTGGGAAGCGTTGAGGAATTGCCCAAAATTGTAAATGGTGATATTTTGGGGCCTAAATTTCTTCTTAAATAAGTTATAAGGACACTGAACTCAGAGGCAAGAGTTCAATTGCCCAATAAAACATTTCACCTTCTTTAAAAACTCAATATCTGTTTTCATTGCTTTTTTTCTTGTCAAGAAAATAATAGCCAAAAGGCCAGAGAATTCAACTTATGGAGGTTTGAGGGGAAAAACCTTTGACTTAGGGAGGTTTTTAATGTACTTTTTTCTCAGGGGATTCAGACAGGGACCTACAAAACAATTTGACTTAGGGAGGTTTGAGTTATTAAGGTTCAACCATAGTACAGTATATAAGAATGAAATACACTTACCATTGTGAGAATCCACAGTGACTGTGTGCACTCCTGTTTCTGAAACTATTTCCGCTGTCGATGCAGAGATGCTGCATTTGACCCCATTTTCAGAATGGCAATCAAGCTCAAAACTTGTCACTGTATTTCGAAGAAATTGTAAAATTAACTTTGAGATTTTTCAAATGCGTTTTGCTATCAATTTTGCAAGTCTGACCTGGAACACCAGCTCGGTCATACGGACGAGTCCAATTCACCAGCATTGAAAATTGTTGATTCAAACCATTGTCTCCAAGATTAGGAGGAAGAC